GGCCAAACATGCAACAGCTATTAAACTCACAGTGATAGCATGAATGATTAGATGGCAATAATAACATTTTTCATAAATGTATATAAGAAAAATATCAGCTTTTTCTGCTGAAATTCGGGTGCACTGCAGCAACTATGACAAAGCTTTTTAATGTGCACCTGTCATGGTCTGCATCTGTGTCTTCCTTCATGTGTCTCCTGATGTTTCTCCATCCCTCTCTAGATTCCCTTCTGTGTGTCATAGCGCCCTCATGTGTCTTTTGTCTGCATCTCAGTTAAGTGTCATGTTGTTACCCTTTTTAATCATTCCTCCCAGGTCAGCTCCAGCCTCTTTGTCCCCAGCTTAGTTTGTGTGTGTGTGTGTGTGTGTGTGTGTGTGTGTGTGTGTGTGTGTGTGTGTGTGTGTGTGTGTGTGTGTGTGTGTGTGTGTGTGTGTGTGTGTGTGTGTGTGTGTGTGTGTGTGTGTGTGTGTGTGCGCGTGCTATGTCCTCCTCCAGCTAGTTTGTGTGAGCCCTTCCCTCTGTCTTTAGATAATTGTTGTTTAGTTTTGTGTTTAGGTATTTGCCCTCCTCTGTTTCTGTTTTCCCCATTTAGATAATTATTGTCACCTGCCTTCCCTCCAGCCCTCACTCCACACACCTGCTTCCTGTTTCCTTAATTGTTTTCCCTGTGTATTTAAGCCCTGTCTTGTCTCTGTTTGGTGTCGGTCCATTGTTTGTAAGTCTGTCAGTCTCATCTTGGATTACGCATGTTCTTTGTCTTCTCGTGTCTCAAGTATTTTTGGATCTCCAGATCGTTATCTGGACTCTGGATTTTGGCTTCCAGCCTTTGGACTTATTTTTGTACTCCTTAAATAATAAAGGATTTTTCTTATTCTTCATCTCTGCCTCGTGTCATCCTGGGTTTCTGCATTTTGGGTCCTCCAACACCGCAACGTGACAGTACCATCATTTAGGGAAAAAGTATAGTTCCAACAAAGGCTGCATTAATTAAACAAATGTTTTTACAATAAGGGGTTTTATTATAAAATACATCAGCAAGTAATGATAAAGTTATGAATGATGTTTCATTTTCTACACAACCCCATTTGTCCTCTGAGCTGCTGCTTAGAGTAGTTAAAGAGGAGTACACACAGACAAACAGGCAGGTAGTAGTTTAAAAAAAACTTTATTGATAAATAAAATACTGTTTTAATGTAAGGAACCTCAATAGCATAACACCCCCCTCCCCCCACGCAGTTTTCCCTGAAGACTATTATTTAAGAATTATTAGATTAACCGATCACGAGATTGTGCAGTCTGCCATTAAAAGTGGATATAACGTTTTTTTTTACTACTTTTGACAAACTCATACTGTGTCCTGTTTGCGATGGAATCAGCCCTTTAATCAGGGGCGGTGTTAGGCCCGGCTACTTGGGCTGAAGCCCCGGATGTTTCATGAAAAGCCCCGGATCTAAATCGCTGAAGTAACATGCAGTACCAAAGTCCAACAGAGAGGGAGCAGCTGGCAGTAGTTTGTATAAGGCCTGCCTGAGCCTCCACCACTGAAGAAGAAGCCCTTCAGCAGCCGGCTTCTTCTACAGTCTCTGTCTGAAACGCATGAGTGAAGATGGACATAAGGACGTTTTTTAGGCCAAAAGTACAACGACAGAACCCCAGCTTTGATGAGACTGGTGTTGACTCAGGTTTGTGAGTCTTATTTGAAAATATTTGTTGTGCTGCTGGTTTGCCTAAAGTTAGCTTACTATCAGGTAAAGTTGCTGGAGAAAGAAAGGGAATATTTACTATCATCTCACACTAAACACTAACAGGAACAATACTCTGCCCTGAAAATGCTTAATGTGTAGCTTCAGATTAAAAATTATGTGGTACAAGACATATATGATGTTGACTAGTGCGTGTCACGTGTGTGTGTGTGCGTGTGTTAAGCCCCGGATGTTCTTCAGTCCTTAATCCGCCCCTGCCTTTAATCAATACTTTAAAAGGTTTAGATGTCATAAAATGTTTTACCTGCTATGCTAAAAGTAGAGAATATGACACATAAAATAGCAGAGCACCGAAAAAATACGTCTGGGACACAGTAAAGATTTAATTAACAGTCACGTGAAAAGTGTTTGTATAAAACCCGAGATTTCTTTCTTTCATATATATATATATATATATATATATATATATATATATATATATATATATATATATATATATTCAAATGTGAGGATGCACATGCATAAGTAACATGGTAATAGTACGAGTATATCTTATGGCCGTCGCGTTGCTGATATTGTAAGCGGTTTCCTCATCGTTGTCAGTTTACAACAACGCGCGCACCCGCGGCAGGGGATGCAATTCTCGGCAGGCAGGCTGTTCTCGGCATAACACCTGCACAGTGTGTGTTGTAAAAAGGAGTCGTTTTCTAACGGGGCTAAAAGGGCTAAAGAGAGAAACAAAATGAGGCCAACCTGAGAATTTTCAAGGCCCCAGCATTCCTCCACATTCCAATGGGCCATTGTCACGTGCTCTGCACAGATAATTCAACATGCGCTGATGTTGCTTCAGCTTTTCTTAATTTCACAACATTTTGAATCAACACATGTGTAGCAGGAAGTTTATTTCTGATTTGTGTTTGAATGAAAATGTGCTAAAAAGAGAAAAAGCTTTTGTAAAAAAAAATGGCGATAAACGTCTGACATCAGTAACAGCATTTGTTGATGTGACAAAATAAACTTTAACAACTCTGAGTATAAATAGCTTTAAAAATGAGAACAATGAATTTCTGAAGTCATACACCAGATGGCAATTAAACGGAAAAAAAAACAATTTATACAGATTACAGCTGAAGAAATGACACATTTCACATAACTAACACCATGCTCTCGTTGCTGCCGGCAGATGTGTTACCTATAGCTGTGTACGGCTGGAGTTTCGCCTTCTCGAAGGCGTTATGACTGCGTCATCTACTATTGGTGAAGGGAATCCCTGAACGAGCAACTTATTCTGACCAGACTCTGTACGCCTTACTGTGGATCAGTACTGATAACTAAAAGAAATGCAAGTAAAAAAAACTTAATGCATGAACAGTTTTGCACCTTTATGAGCTTTGTTTGATTCCGAGGAGCTCGCTGTGGTCTTAAACTGCCTGTTTAAAAAAAAAAAAAAAACTTTTTTCTGTTGAGACAAAATCGAGTAAACACCTCACAACTGAAAATGTGCACAAAGAAAATTCTTGATTCTTTGAAGTTGGCTTTTGTAGAAACATTATGAATGATTAATATCAGCGAAGATTCCCTCTAGCTCATCCAACCAGGACCACGAATTTAGGAGTCCTGCTGTTTTACTCTTATATGTCCCAAAGAGCATTTTTTGTTGCGCTGACAGCCAGGTGGGTTTTTGTGAATAATTTGGGCAATGCTACTGAAATTTCTCTTTTTTTTTTTGAGGGGAGAATGTGTAATTTTGGGGGAAATATCAATAATAATAATAATAATAATAATAATAATAATAATAATAATAATAATAATAATAATAATAATAAAATCCCCTACTCCATTTGATGTAATACTGAAATCATTTTGTAGCATTTCCGTCCTTAGTGCAATGTTTTGCGCCATGTAAATCATTTTTTCTAGTAAGCCTAAATATTAGCTTATATTATTCTGTCTGAGTTCAGGGTTTTTATGTTTTCCACTAGATTGCGCATTTTTCCTGCGTACCGGGGAAATAAATGCTGCATTCAATTTAAAAAAAGAAAGAAAAAGAAAAGAAAATTCTTTTAAGACACTCCAATATGTGGAAAATTTGCCCATAAAACAAATCATCTGGACATAACACAGCATTTTTTAAATACTTTTTCATTTGTTTACATTTTTGGTCATCATGCACCTGACAATAAAGGGACAAATAAATAGGTTAAATCTCAGGAACGCACACACATTTTATCATGTTTTGTGAGGACTGAAGCCAAGGACTAAATTTAAACAAAAAATTGGGAGTTATGAAATATATTGTTGCTCTTTCTGCACGCCTCACTACCATCACGGAGGACAGAGCTTTCAGCCGTGCTCCTCACAGACATCAGAGACATTATGACTGCCTCACCCTATTCTAATCCAGACTCAAGACTCGTCTGTTCAAAACTGTTTATGACTTGTGACTTGTTTGATCTGTTTTTATGAGTTTGATTAGTTTTTTCTGGTATTTTACTGTATTTTATCTTGTAAAGTGACCTTGGGTGTTTTGAAAAGTGCTTTCAAATAAAATGTATTACTATATTATTATATGAGGAAGTATTGTGTCTGCATGTTTTTGCGCACCAAGGTTAAAATCGTAACTTTTTTTTAGAAAACATGAAATTGCATAAAAACTATAGAGCTAAACATATTTTATACCTACTTGTGACACTCCAGTGCGGTGACAGTTTAACCCCAATGAAGCTGAACATAAAACACAAAAAATTAATTCATCTTAATATTTTATTTTTTTTCCACAATTCTGGTATTGATCATAAACCTGGCAAAAAAGGGGTTAAATCTCAGAAACACATTTTTTATTATATTTTTTAAGGCTGAAATTCATGTAAAAAAATTGGGACATATGAAGTATTAGACAATATTTCTATAGGAAGTTTTGTATGTGCATTTTTTTTAAGCTCAAACACCTGAAACGTTAGAAAGTTAAAAGGTAATAGAAGGGTTAAGAACAACAAAATCTTGTTAAAGAAATTGCTAATTTATAAATATATAGAAAACATAGAATTAGATAAAAATCTTTTATAGGCCAGTCAGTGTAGACTCAGACCAGAACGAATGATTTAAAGATGATCCTCTAGCGCCACCATGTGCCAAAAGGCATCAGTTTAGTAGTACCCAATAGTATAAATGCTTTCTGTCGTATCAGAAAACAAAGATATGAGTACAAACAGCACACATGATGCTGATGTTTTATCCTCCATTCAAAGGATGAAAGACTGAAACCAAAGGCTGAAAAATTCAGGCCAGACGAGAAGAACAGATATAGAATTTATTCTCAATATTCATTGCAAAGAATAAGAGTGACACAGCTTGAAACAGATAATACAGAATTTATTTTCAACCAGAAGTAGGAAAATACATAGGTAGGTGTAAAGGAAACAAGCAGAAACGGTAGTCAGAAAGAAAAACGATAAAAGAATAAAAACTAGTCCGAGGAGAATCAAAAAAAGGACGGCTAAGGGAGTACAACAGAAAGCATTGTTTACCATTCAGCTTCAGTTTTAAACAGTAGGTGTTGATTTCAAAACAGCTGCCTTGATTTCTCGTCTCGGTTTAATGAACATTCTTGAACTTTGTGCAAGTGTTTCTTTTTTTGTTGTTTTTGCTGGTATTTTATGAATGGTAAACAATAGTTGGTCCAGTGCATAAACACAGTGACACAGATCAATATATGTACTCAGCTGACTACAGATAGACAATCCTGATCATTGAACAACTACCACTAAAATCAGCAGGGCGGAGGGAGAGAGAGAGAGAGAGACGGAGAGAGATGAGCAAATATACAAAATGCAGGAAAATGTAAAAAGTGTTGAGCTAAGAAAGCAGTGTGAGGTCTAGGATGATTAGATAAAAGAGGACTGATCGTCAAAACGGCTACATTTTAAAGAGTTGACTGAATGTTTCTGGTTATTATTGCCAAGTTCAGCTGAAAAGTCAAACTGAAACTAAATGATGATCACGTAAAAGGACACTGAATGACCTTGCTGTCCTTACAGCCCTACGTAGCATGAATACAATGATTTGGAATTTAAAACGATGACAAAAATAACAAAAAAGGAAAAATCAGTGAGCTAGCTGTTGGTGTGAACTTTGGCTCTACAAACTAAAACGGAACTACAAGCAGCTTTGGTGTGCACCGTTACAAAGAGATGCAGCCAGGGAGGGAAATATTAAATAAAAAATATTACTACACACACAAAAAAAGTATAATAAACGATGCCATGGTGGGAAAAAAGCGCTCACAAGGTGTCAAATTCATCTATAGTTGGACAAATATTCGAAGGAAAGGAGGTAAAAACAACAAAAGTATCTGGGAGTCAAAACGATGACCATCAAGAGTAACTAGCTAGTTTTAACAAATTGAATCACTGTAATGCACAAGAACAGAGTAAGATGGACTAGTAGTACTAAAAAAATATAGTTACGAAAAAGTGAATCACAGGACCGGTCTAGCGGCACATCATTAGCTTTGTCGTACAAACACGTTTTACACCCGTTAAAACAGTGTTTTCTACTGAACTGTAGCCACTAGTGAGACAGCGTGGCTGCCCTAACCTACCGACACTAGCGGGCTGGCGCTGCGGGAACAATCTCAAATAAAGCTGAACAGTGGAGAAAAATCTAATCCCTGTAGGGTTCAAACCAAAACTACCAACGCTAACTTTCCCTCAGTCACGGGACATTCAGCAAGGCCTCGTCAGGAGCACTGAACCCATCAGGGACACCGATCAGGAAAACACGTTGACATGATTTCTACAGAGGTTTTGGTTCGTGTAGGGTCAAAGGTCAAATAAAAGTAAAAAAAAAACAAAAAAAAAAAAAACAATGCAGCAAACATAACACCATCATAGAATTCATGATTTTACACGTCAACACCAAAAAATCTGTATCTTTTTAGAAAGAAACAAGAGAAACATCCTTTTTATTCACACTTTACAAAAAAATAAACTACCCTTTAAGTCTACTACAATACTAATGCCATTCAGGAGAGAGGAGGAAAGCAAAAGTCTAATTTGGACATTTTGATTTTCACTGAGAAATGGAGGTTTAAAATGTGGAAATGAGCAAAAAATAAAAGCAGATTAGAGGAACAAGAAATTTTAAGTTCATTTTTCGCATTTAATTAAAAATTTTGTGTTTCAACAACATACGTTTTTCTTTATTATTGTCATGACTGAACAGAGGAGGAGGACAGCATCTGAATCCTCTAAGTGCTGATCATCGAGTAAAAGCATGAAAGCTGAAATAACAAGTGAGATTCAACGTCAAAACAGCTACACCCGCTGACCCTCGTCCTCCGTTCGTCTAAAAGCAGACACTTGGGGCTTCCAACCTTTCCAGTGCAGAGGTGGGGTGTGGGGGTGTCTACAAATGGCACTATAGCTTTAATAACAAGGGTAGAAAATCTATACAAAGTGGTGGGGTGGAAAGTTTTAATTAAAAACATAACAACAGAGCTTGAGCAGGATAGTAGTTAGATCCAGTCTGAGGTTGGGCAGTTTTAAGGTGGAGGCTCAGGGACACCAGAGAAGAAGCTGGGGTGGGGTCAGGGTGACGGTGTGCACAGGTACAAAGAGGGATCTGAAAGTGATAGAAGACGACACACCCCATTCATGATCCTTACTGAAAGGAAGGTCCGTGGGGAAAATGTGAGAGCTCAATGAACAGGAAGGGTTTACACGTCATCATAACATAGTCACATCTCATAAAAAAGAAATGGTAACCCCCAAGAAAGCAGGACATAAAATCTTCACAAATGTCATAACAGTATTTAAAAATAAAAAGGAGAACAGGCTGTTTGGGCGTTCGCTGCGTGGAAATAGTGCAAGACAACATCAACTGCTACGGTGAGGCGAGATGCACGCGTGGGACGCCACCACGCTCCACGTTTAGACAGACAGGTGGGGGATCGTTAGTGCGTGGCATTTTATCAAAACTCCATGGCAGCGGTCTGAATCAGTGGCTTTGTTAATGGGCGACGAGCAACAGGTAGCGATTACTGGGTGTCTATTTACATCACAGCTATATGCCAGCACATAAATCAACCCAACAGCTGAGAGAACGCCAGAGCTATAAAAAACACCAAACATGACAGGTCATCTCCGGGGGAGTGCAAAGGAGTGACAGCGAACGCCACAAACAACCTCCTCTCGTGTCTTTTGTACAAGCTGGTAATATCAATTCATCTTATAACATTAACTGGATAAAAATTTAGCCATAGTTTACAATACAATCTTTTTTTTCTCAAATCTGACCATAATTTACTCTCCGTACAAAAAATGCCAGAAAACAGGTCTTTTGTGGTTCATATACAATCATGTAAAGACTGAGTCTAGATTCTATTCTGTACAAACACTTGTGAAAAAAACCAAACAAAAACAAACTCACTGCTTTTGTATGTGTGTGTGTGTGTAACGTATGGCTGGGGAAAGTCACTACTGGCCTCGGAGACAGTGCTACACATCCGCCTGCAATTTACCATTAAGTGTGTGTGTGTGTGTGTATGCTTGCAGCTTGCTAGAGCTGAACGTCAGCTCCTGATAGTGAGAGGAATGCTGGTTTTATTTATTAGTTGTTACTTCAAAAAAAAAAAAAAAAAGGATTTGTGAAAGCAAACCCCCACCACCCCCCAATCAGCCTTCCTCAAAAACAAAATGGTGATACTTGGGCCGCACGCGCTCCTAAGCACAAGACTAGCCTAACAACTATACAAGCTTGGGTGAAACGGTCTGCAGAGAGGATGGTAGCTGCTCTCAGGTTCGCTCATCTGACTCCACAAGTTGTTGGTGGGGGAATCGGGCAATTGCAGGTTCAGGATTCTGCTTTTCTATGCAGCTGCAGGTTTAGTGGCTGAATGCATCAGGGGTCAGAGGTGGACTATCTTGTAGCACCACAGGAGGCCATGAAGAAGCAAAGGCCTCAGCACCACAGAATGACAGCAGGAGAATAAAAGATCACCTTGTGAACACCAGATCACCTGCATCCACGTGAACTGCACTGCATCCACTTCCTGGGACACCGCCAGGGAAGAGTCGCTCTAAACCTCCTAAAGGCGTCTCCCACAGAGACCTGCTGCTCAGAGAACAGGGGGTCAGAAGCCGATGATGGAGGTCTGAGGCTGACAAGTCTGTCGTCTTTGCTGGTTTTAGATTTATACAGGACAGGCAGACGTGCTGGGCATCAGATATGGAGCTTTGCAGGTAATGCCCCCCCCCCCCCCCCCCCCCCCCACACACCCACTTTCTTTTGCATTTGCCCTGAACTCCTAAGCCTAACGATGCCTTGTGTGATGAGTCTGAATCAGCTACCATCCCCTCTAGTTTGAAAGACAGGAAAAAACGAGGATGAAGGGTGTGAATCAGATGAGGAAAGGGGAGTCCGAAACACATAGTGTGATGCATAAACTGGACCGAATCAAGCAGTTAAAAAACAACCTAAAAAGAAAGAAAAAAAAAAACAGGAAAAATATAGAATATCTATAACATTGTACGAAATCCCTGTCAGCCAGACCTCACTGTACGAATATTTTACAGGTTTTGTGTGGTGGGTTTTGTTTATTTTTTCTGAACGTGTGTGTCTTCCTCCTCCAGTGTGGTGGAGGGAAGAGCTGGTAGAAGGAAGGAGGGCGAGGTTTAGAGGAAAAGCTGTGGCTGCAGCCCCCCTCCAGGTGGTATGGCAGGGTCTCACTACCTGCGTGCAGGCAGGTGAAGCCCGTTGACCTGCGGGGGCAAAGCGGGCAGGAGCAATTCCAGCTGAGCAAAGAGGGAGAAGTGGTCAGAGGGGATGTGGGGGTGTGGGCAGCCGCTGACATTGTTCTCTACAAGCCAGTGGGGGTCCAGAGGGCCCAGGATGCCCAGGACGTTCAGGTGAGGCTTGGAGTAGAAAACGTAATCGATCACACCCTAAAGAGTAGAAAGAAGAGAGGTTTGACTTCTAATTGTGCTGATTGGAGGGTTTATGAGCTTACCAACCAGCATCTGGTCAGTGCGGTTACCTTGAAGTCGAAGGTGTAATTGGTGTAAGGCATCAGGCCATTCTCGTAGGCGCTCTTCAACTTGAAGCCGTGAGTGATCTTGCCGTTGGATGTGCTATTCTTGCCGTTGCAGTTGAATTTGGTCAGGCTGTCACTGTAGCGGAGCTCCTTGAAGTCCTTGTGGGTGCAGTCCACTCCACCGGTACTCAGGTACTCCACTACGCCTGGAGAACAACCACCATGGTCAGGGCAGTACTGGTTTTAACCACATACCAGTTAAACAGTGATGCCAACTCAAGCCAGATTTCTGTCATCTTCATTTGATTTGATACTTGAGGAGCTCGTCACCCTGCTGCTCAGGAGAGCCACGGTCATTTAAAGTCCCACCATTAAAACATCTAACAAGCACACAGAACCCATCCCGTTATAAATGAGCATTTAAAAGTAATACCTTCATAAATAAATATTTCAATCACCAACATGCTTGGTCAAAAAAGCACAAATTGTAACACTTTACAATAAGGGTCCCTATACTACATTAATGTTACTAATTGCATTATTAAGCATAAATAAATAATAAAGTCAATAAAGTCTTAACAACTTCTTAATAATAATGTTAATATTAAGTAATGCATTACTAAGATGACACCCCCACTGCTCATTTGTCCTAACCTTAAGGACATTTAATAGTTAACGTTGAGAATGTTAATAAAGGTATGATTTGTTCATTCATGCTTAATAAAGCACTAAGTATCATTAATATAGGGACCTTTATCGTAAAGTGTTACTGCACAAAGTGTTTTAGTATCAGTGTTTTCTCTATAAATCCTTAACTGTCAC